CAGCGTGGCCGACGGCGGCTGGGTGTAAAATAAGTTACTGCATTCCGGACGCTTCCCTTCCGAACTCCTTCCTTTCCCACAAACAAGAGAACCCTCTTGGCGCCTCCCCTCGTGCTCTCTCCGGCGCCGGGCAGCCCAGCGCTTCTCGTTTCCAGACTTCCTGACTCTGCCCGCCCCGAGAGCGGTGACATTGCCCGGGGATCGCGCGGGGACGGCCGCGCCGCCGCCGGGGACAGCGCTGTGCGGTGATGCTTCTCCCCAGCCCTCTTTTAACAAGACTGCTCAGCAATTGGCCGGCCGGGGCCTCCCCGTCGCCACTCCTCCCCGGCCGCTGGAATCCCAGCGAGTGCGTTGCGGCTCGCTCAGAACGCTTGGAAAATGCCCTCCCGAGCTTGGCCTCGGCTTGGCCAGGGAAGCCGACCGGCCGGCCGACTGTGCGTCTCCTCTCGAGTGTGCTGCTAGCTTCGCGGTTGGGATCGAGTGACTTGGCTTTTTCTTGACTTGACTACTCACCACGCTGGTTTTCCTCTGGACTTAGCCCCCGGCTTCAAGGGCTACGGTGTTTACTCTCTGCGTAGCTACCAGATTAAAAAGTAAACTGTTATACCAGAGCTGGGCAATCTTTAGGCATAGTTTAGCCAGTTCTGATTTGCTAGCAAGCTAGAAAGCTTTCTGGGCCATTTTTAAAGTTCTTATTTCTTTCTTGCCTCCCCCTACTTCTTCGCCTAGTCAGTACGGAGGTTATTTAAGGCAGTGAAATCTAACCAGAATATTTTGACAGCTTCCGCCCCACCCCCTCTGTCCGAATTAGACAACCATCAAAACTAAACCAAATGCTGGAATTTCCCAACCCCCTCCCCCCATCATGTATTCATTCCCATTCCGAAACAGTGATATTCCAGATGTTGGGAGTGGATCCTAAAGTTTAGACACAATATGTCTTGTCATGGTAGACTACTAGACTATCATAAGATTATATGTAATATTTTATCAAATACATAGGCTTTTGATTGATTATGCATTTAAAGACTGTTCCTCAAGTCACTGTTTGAGCACAGCGTATCTATGAATCTGTCCAACAGTGGGTCCCTCTACTAATCTGGCCCAAACTGCCACCCGTCTTTTCTCCAGAAATTTCAGATACTACTTGGTGGTGCAGGCTGTGACTTGGGTACATCTAGAACTGATTTGCTGGGAAACCACATGAGTGCTTATTTCTTACTGAACTTCAGATTGGTTGCTTGCAGGTAACTTGATGGGAGAAGATATTGTCATTTGAGTTTCCATGAAACATCCTATGTACTTACAATGTTAAAATAACCATTAAAGGATTTAGGTATTGATCGCAAAAAAAAGTAAAACTTTGATTTGGGATATTTACCGAAAAAATCTAGGAACTCCGATGGTGACACCTCTTGAGTGTGGCAGTATAATAAATGACTTTTAGATGATTTTTCAGGTCTGTCATTTCCTAATTAGCCCTTGGTCACTTCTTGTTTCAAGTTTCCATACATTTAAGCATGCACACCCACACTGATAGGCTACTGACTGTGTAGCTGGATAGTGCTTAGAAATTATATCAGTGCTCCTGGTGTTTAGAAGGTGAGAAGACAGACTTAGCGTGACAGCCTGGTTTTGGTGACAAGATGACACCATTTATTACATTTTACCTTTGTTGTGCTTGGTTTCAGCTTAGTCAGGTTCCTCTTGCTTCCCCAACCTGCTCTGTAAAGTCTCTGTCTGGTATTATGAATGAGAATTTCAGTGAATAGGACCTGGTAAGATACAGGCTCAAAAATTTCTCCCAGATAATTCTGTTTCAAGTCAGCTTTGAAATGGAAATATGTGGTAATGTTAAGGCTGTGATAAAGTGCTACTATCTGTTTACAGATGAATTAATGTTAGACTTCTATGACATTAATGTCAGATTTCTATAACTTTGTGTTATATTCAGGGAGCATGTGATAATTTAACTGAAGAGAAGCCTTGTCAATGAAATTATCCCCAGCCCCCAGACACTGGGGCTTGAGGAGGAGAGCTTGGGCTAATTTCCTCTTCTTTTCATGCCTGCTCCACTTAGATATTTACTCAGGTTGTTTCACATGACTTTTGATCTAATATCACATGTGAGTTGGTTATTTGTGTTGATTAAAATTGTATAAATCCATAGGTTTAGATTTAGTCCAGTTTTATTGCTTTGATTATGTTTTGTAGAACAAAAAGTAATTCATGTGATGGACTATGCTAACTAAAAATCTCTGATTCTCATGTCACTAAAATAATTGGAAGCAGATATCAAAGATTCCTCGTGATTTCAGTACTATTGAAGAATAAGTATAAACCGTTGCTTGCTGAGGAAGCTTCTATGTGTAGAACTGGAAACTTAAAAGTTACTTTCAAAGCTCAGACCAGTTTTAACTTGTTACTGTTGGAAGGTTGGTTATAAAGTCGGGACTCCTTGATTTCAATAAACAGGGGAATGTCTGATAGCTGATATTTTAGGTGAGTGGCTTTCTAAAAACCAAGCACAAGTTTTTTTCTGGTATTTTCTGCCTCATCCCAGACTTTCATGTAACTGAGCCCTGTAGACTATCAGTTCCTGAAGGCAGCACTGTGATTGTCTTTATCTTCCTACCTCCTCACAGAAGTGCTCAATAAACATTTCTTGAATTGAACTGAATCATTTCTTTGTGTTTAGGAGACATTTTAAAATTATTTCCTAATTAGTGAAAGCTGCTAAAGAATCTACAACTTTCTTTATACAAATACATCTGCGCACCCACTAATCAATTTTACTTAGCAACGCAAACAGTCTTCGCATGCTTCTTTAAAAAAAAAAATTCATTAAATCATCCTTCATTTTTGTATGTATAGTTTCCCTCTGAAATTTCCACCAATTCCCCCATGCACCATCACCATAGTCTCTTGGGCTCTTCCCATCCCTGTCCTGATCCTTCTCCCTCTTCCTCCCCTACAGAATGCATCTGATTTATAATTTGGCATGCTTATTTCTATAAGAAAGGATGCCTTTTAAATGAAATACAGCAGAGGAAGAGAACAAAGCCCATAGAACAATATGTGATATATCTTTTTGGCTCAAGTAGATGTAATTTGTACTCCTCAAAAATGTTAATTTACAAAAAGACAAAACAAAATGTTAAGTCACACCATATATTTCAGAAAAGAGGTCATGTTAAAAGATTTATTACACAAATTAAAAGGTGTTATTAAATCAGAATTTGAACTCTGAATAGTGTCCCAAATTGAATTTATTAACTTTTTATAAGTTGAAACTTACTAGAAACCACAACTTGAAAATAAATGAGTCATGACATTTATAAAGAATTTTTTTAAGATGCATGGGGAAACAAAATTAATTGCAGCTTTTAGGAAAGGTTTTAGTCATGTTAAGATGAGGGAAAGAAACAGCTCATTATTTCCTACTTTTGGACTTACTGCTGTATATAATCTAAAGTCAATGCTATCCATAATAAAGTGACAGTTTTTCATTTTCAAAGAGATAACACACAGAACCTATTTGGAATTGCATTTGGTACATTCATAAAAGCTCACTAAATGCTGGCTTTCTTACTTTTCATTACTTTCTTGCTATTAATTTGACATTTGTTGGAGCACCTTGTTCTCTTCCCCCACTGCTTCTCAGGTGTCATTCTTTGCCACAGTCCCATAGACTAGCTTTCTTGTTGGTTCTCAAAGTTATTGGGCAACTTTCTTCTTCAGAGCTTTGGCACATGCTTTTGTCTCTCCTAGAACAGTTTTACCCAGGTATCCCCATGACACCCTTCTCCTTCAGTCTTCAGATGTTTCCTTCGGGGAGCACTTCTCTACCCACCTTTGCCCCTCTTGCTTTCCCAGAACTCCATATTCTCTATTTTTGCTTTTAGTTTATGCCAGAGCACTTAACCATCTTCCAACAGAGTGTATCATTTATACATGTATTTAATTTGTCTACCCTTCCGCCTGTTGGACCATAAGGTCTTTAAGGAACTTCATGCCTTCAACAATAGCCGTTCTGTGCTCAATAAGGGACTAGTCCTCAATGGGGGATAGGTGCTCAAAGAGCACAAGCCGAGGGCTCAGTGAAAACCCACTTCCTGCCCTGTTGGTGACAGAGCTTATGCTAGTTGGAAATCAAAACCTGAGCAATAAAATAATGAAATGGTATGTCTAGCCCAACTCTTGCTTTATAAGTAAAAAGTCTGAAAGTATCCACTTAAAGGAATTTTGGGCTTCCCTGGTGGTTCAAGGGGTTAAAGCACCCCCATGAGTTCCACTCCTAATGAGGGAACTGACCCACGGGGCACAAGCATACCTCTCCTTTCTCACCTGTTGCTCCCCTCAGCAGTGTATATCAGTAGATCGATTTGTTCTGGACCCTACTCTGTCTCTTGTGAATCATCACCCCCCGCCCATACCTCTGGCCCGGTTCTTGTATGCATAAATAAATAAATCTTAAACACACACACACACACACACACACACACAGAGGAACTCTTTGTGGTATATGAGAAGTCTGGCATTTAGGGTGAAAAGGAAAAAAACATAGCCAGAGTTTCAGATTGGTTTTCATTAGACTCTAGCAATTTTGCCTTTTTTGCAATTGAAGAGTCATGCTGATGTCATCTTCCAGATGTTCCTTTTCTGCTTTGTATATAAAAAATTAGTTGTTTGACTTGGGGTGGGGAATGGTAGAGACAGAATTGATAGAGGAAGAAAAAAACATGTGGCAATTTCTAACTTGATGTGAACTTTCATACTAATTGTGTCCTTGTATGCTGAATCCAGAATCCAGCAAGTGCCAAACTTGCTGCTCAGTGGTTGCTGAAAAGGAAGGTGTTGTGTGTGTGTGTGTGTGTGTGTGTGTTTGGGAGAGGGGAGGAGTGGGAAATGAGGGTGTTCAAGATCCTTAAATAAAGGAATGAAATGAAGTTCTTTGATTCACAACCAGTCACTAATAACAGTGCCTACCCAGTAAACAGCCTTAGATAACCCATTTCTTGAGTCAGTGCTTGAATGCTGTGCTTGAGGTTTGAAATAATGAGGGGAAAGGTAATATTCACTAAGTAGTTTTAAACAAAAATTGCATTATTTGACTATTGTGATATTCTAGGAAACACTGTATATAATCAGGAAAACCTAATTCAACTCTAAAAAGGGTTAGGGACCTCTGACACCCCTTTACAGGTAGTATAAAGAAAGCTGCCATGAGCTGGGTTCTGGGTGCTTGAGAAAAGCACAAATGGGGTAGATACCAGTTTGGACAGGTGGTCAGTGGCCCCCTAAGTTCACCGAGGGGCACACAGGGGTCTACTTCAGCTTGACTATTTGCTGCCATCTCTGCTTAATCTGTTAACTTAGTTTTTATGAGCTGTGTGCTGTGTGAAAGTACCCAATATTTGTATAGATATCTTGT